AAACTGAAAAGCTGGAAAATGTCCTATCAAGGATTTTTTTAGAGATTGATTTCCATTGATTATATAATTTGTCTACCGTAGTATCCGTTTCCCCCCTACAAATTAGTGTATTGATGTAGACTATAGTTGAGGTGTCCAACTCCTTTCGACATCTTGGGTCGCCGACCACGCCTACCCGGCAATTCTGCACCGTCCGAAAGAGACATTCTCGGCTTGGTCGCCGTCCTTGATCGCTCCACACAGCAGGCACTTGTTGCCATAGACCAACCCGTTAATGGTTCATTGCGGGTCCATATTTTTGGGGCAGGCCGGGGGTTGCATACCCCCTGCAGAATGCAGGTCGCTGTGGAGAAAGCAGATGGGTTTAGTGTTTTTATTTCCAAAAGAGTAAAACAAAAAAAATCACTCCATCCGATTCAAACTAGGGACAAGACGTTTAGACTACTTTAGAGTGAATTGTATTCAATCAAATCGTTTCCTGGTTTGGTCGGGTTTTTTTGGAGGGGGGGGGGGCGTTTCTCTAAAGGCATATAGAATCATTTGCTTTTCATGCATTTTGTTCGTTTTCAATAATATCACCAATCAAAATTCCAAGAAGACTTAAAAAAAAAACCCTGTTGAAGTTTCAGCTCAGTGGATATTACACTTTTCGATAAAACAGTGAATCGTAAGTCATTTGCTCGCAGTGACTCGAGTCGAGTCGAGTCGAGTCATTGACTCGAGTCATTACAACTCTGGATGGTTACACCTCTATGTTCCGACACCCCTATGTTCCGACTGCACATATTCCTAACCCTAACCCTAACCCTAACCGGGAGTAACACAATCTAGGTTGTCGGAACATAGGGGTGTCGGAACATAGAGCAGTCACCCTCTGGATGATTCTGGCACAAATGCTGAAAATGATCATCGTCATTTCTTGATGTTAGGCATCCGATGGCTGTAACGTCATCAAACCGGAGGTTAAAGTTCAATCATTTTGATACAAATACGCATTAGTGTAATTATTCTTATTTCCAAAAAATACAAAATGATAAAAAATGATAAAAGGCTAAAACTGAGACAACTATTAATTGAATTTTGTTTAATTAATCAGATATCTTCAGAAAATAAGCAGAATCTGTAAGTGAGGCGTTCTAAAACGAATAGGCTACAGACTGCTTTGACACGAGGTACAAAACTGTGATACAAGGAGCGATTCCATTTTCCTAAATATAATTCTTCCTGGGATCACTAGTCTTCGGAAGGCTATGCAGGCTAAATTACTTGAAATAGTCAATATTATAACATACTACAGTCCTTTTTCGTTTCGTTAGCCCACAACATAATTTTAATGTGCCTGTGCAAAGACAGACCAGCCATCAAAACATGTATTTTTAGATAAGCATATGTTGCATAAACTCCAGGGACGTTAGAGGCTCCGTCACACTAGCACTGTGCAGCACCAGAACCTTCCCTCGAAAATTTAGACCTTTTGTTTTATAAACATTTTCCAAAGCAGCAACAAAGTTTATACACTGTAAAAGCTTTGTTTAGCGTTGAAATTTCTGAACACCTAATTGTACGCACTTGAATCTACGACACGGATGTCTGTGACATGTCAGGTACACTATGGAAGCCTGTTAGTACCATCAAGTATTTCAATTAAAAGTGTACATGTTCTATAAATGACTAATCATATCAGGATGAAGTCGAATGACAGGCTAAATACGGTGCACACTGTTATCACTCTTTCTTTTATTTTCTGTCTCAGACAAACAAACTTTAAAAGGTAAATTTGACTTTTGATAACTTATTAATGAAGACAGTAACACGCTTTCATGTGCAACAAAATATATAAATATGTCTTTGACCAAACATGTAAAAAAATTGGTACCAAAAAGCACCATTTTTAATACAGTGTAGAGTGAACACTTTTTTTGCTTTTCATGTAATTTTGGTTGACTTTTGAAAAGTGTCCATGCATTTTATGATTTATGAGTACACTGTAAAACACTCAAAAAGTTGATTGGTTGAAAACACTACCAATCTAAGTGGTTTACCCAAGGTAGGCTAAATCACTCAAAGCAATCAATACTAAAATACTAGTCCGTTTTCTGAATTTTCGTCATAACTGATTGCAATCGCACCTCCAGTGTTCCTGTCATATTTTAAATACAGAATATCCATATTTCGTTCTTTCGTAAAATGTAGCCTCACGGCATAATTTTATTATACCCATGCAAAGACCAAAAAGCCATCAAAACATTTATTTTTAGAAAAGCATATCCAATGGCGTCGGAGGCTCCGTCAAACTCCATATTGTAGTCTACCGCAGATACTGTTTCTTATTTTATGAGAAATTGAGTCATATGCATGCAGCACCAAAAGCAATGCGCCTATACAATTTGTATCTTGTCTTCTATACACATTTGCCGAGGCAGCAACAAACTTCAAATAGAGTAAACAGCGATCATACCCTTCGTGATTTTCATAATTTGGTTAGCTGGCTGACTTTTAAGAAGTATCAATGCAAATTAATATTCACGAGTACACTCTCAATACGATTTGGTTTAAAACACTACCAATCTTAGTGACTGATGGCCCATAAGCTAAATCACTCGAAACAGTCAATTTTAATATAGCTTACCAGTTCATTTTCTGATATTTTTCGCCAGTTTTCCTCTCGTATTTTAAAAACAGGTGTTACCGAGTGGTAAAATAAATAATTATTGCTAGGGGGGAATCTGGAATACAATCCCGTCAATCACACCAACCGTTGTCGGATGATGGTAATAGAGCCAACGGGACTATTACTAAATCCAGACCCTAACCAAATTGAAGGAAACAAGGATGCACAAAATGAATTTCCAGGCGACAGTAAATTTAGAAAAATATAAGTATCTGAAATTTTAATTCAATTATCCTCAAGCAAACTATATATATAATGAATCTCGGGAATAACAAGGCCCCAAAATTTCAAAGGTTAGCGACCGCTAAAAGAAACATTCTAGTGGCGGTTAACAACAAGTAACCACAATTTTCAATATAAATAAATGGCCGCACCTCAATTTCATGAAATTTAAGGCAATATTGTGATACAGCAAGCAAATGAACTTAACTTAACCCCAAAATATACTCTGGAAACATTCGTTTCGTTAATTCACAGCAGTATTTTTTATTATGCCCATGCAAAAACAAAAAAAGCCATAAAACATTTATTTTTAGATAAGCATATGTTACTTCCAGGGACGTCTAGAGGCTTCGTCAAAGTCTATATTCGAGTCTACTGATGCTGATAATGTGCAACACCAGAAATGCGCCTCGAAAATCTAGATCTGGTTGGTTCCCTTACCAGACGATCCTGATATATCATAACAGTCAAAATATTTTGTTGTCGGAGCCAGACTAAATCGCGCAGACGGCCGTTGATGCTGACTTTAGTCAAGTCCCACGCGCCTATACCCGGGTACCCGGACCATCCGGACACGTAACGCACCCCGGATGCTGGCACGTAAAAAGACTAGCACGAGCGGCGAAGCCGCGAGGGCCTTTACCATCTCGTGGAACTAATCACTTATTCATTTATTCACGTAATATAAATCAAGCAATATAAACCAATCATCTAACGGTGGTTTGCGGTTACCAGCAACAGCCTGAGCACGCGCGCCATATCGCTCGAGTGCTGTCTGGCGCCAGACGACGGCTGATTTACGTTAGTAATTCTGCATTTTCATTGGTCAATTCACAACGGGTAATGCATTATGCATGTCTACCAAATCGGTAGACAAAATAATGTAAAGAAAAACATAAGCGTTCTCCACGAGATGGTAAAGGCCCTCGCGGCTTCGCCGCTCGTGCTAGTCTTTTTACGTGTCAGCATCCGGGGTGCGTCACGTGTCCGGGTAAGCGCGTGGGACTTGACTAAAGGCTACTGTTGATGTTGACGACAACTTGGTTCGCGAGCTTTTCCTTTCATTCGGCAGCCAATAGTGTGGAGGCTCTTATTAGGAAATGTTAATGAACGTTTCTTTTTTGAAATATTATTTTTTTCAATGATTCTCCCTTAATATGATCTATTTTATATGGGACTAACGGTCGGAAAAAAATTACAGATGTGTTGGGTTGAAATAAAATACGGGTTTGTGTATGTAGCGGAATCCGTTCTTAAACAAAACTTAAAATGTACAACTAAATTTAATTTGGAAGAAAACAAGTTCTACATTATCCATATATAATAAAAGTGTCGAGCCCAGGATGTGGTTACAATTTGTTTGTTTGAAAGGTATCCACCACTCCGATGCAGGCGTCCTGAGCTCTTCAAAGTGGAAAATCAACGGAGCCTGCGCTGAAAGTAAAAAGTCACGCGGCTCAGCTTCCGGAGCCCTCGCGTGGCCCGTCTATGTGCGTTTTACATTAGGTAGCCCTTTCAAATTCTATAATTGGGGGGAACCACAGACAAAGGAGCATAACTTTCAGGGTGCACGCCTGTAAATAGACCAAAAATCCGTCCGCCGAGCTCATAAATAAAAGTTATACCCTCAAAATATTCTATATTAGAGAGTTCTGAGAACCATGGAATTGGGGAATTGAAGACATGTGGCACTCTGGCCTGGACTTGGAGCTTCCAATTCTGAGCATTTTGGATGCAATCTGGCCCGAAAGTGGCGCTATTTAGCCATGTTGTGGAGGGATTCTTTTTCAAAATGGCTACTTTTCCAGTTCGGGAAACATCATTCGTTTTAGGGGTGTTCTTATTTGGGTGAGAATATCTCAAAAAGTCAATGGTCAACCCACCCAAAATTGAAAAGAAAATGAAAGATGACATGTTGATCATCATTTTTCTGTGCAGCTTGAATACCTGTGAGAGTTCTGAGTATTTTTTAATGAATTTTGAAGTATGGACATTTAGCACTAGTGTCTATGGGAATTTATTTGCAGGCGCGCACCCTTCAAGGTTTCGGAAGGGCGCCACCAGGGGCTCTTGGACTCGCGCTATCGCGCAAAAGTAGATGAAAGAGGGCGCCCTGCCCTGCACAGGTAATATGGCGGCCCCCATGAAAGATTTCACACGACGATTGCTCTGGTGCATTTGGAAAAATACTCCTAAACCAATTCGTTGTCGAAGAGTGGAGATTAATGCTGGTACGTTTAATTAACGGTAATCGAATAGTTTGAAAGGATGTAGGCCTAGTAGGCAATTTTCTCACACAAAATAGAAAATATTGTTCGGTCCCACTCACTCCCAGAATCCAGATTCAATCATTCATGTATAGTCGTGTTCCGTAACGTGGCGCACTTCGAAGCTTACCCAACTTTCCTCGTGTAGTGTTGCCAAACCTCTTTGTTGACAAACCTCAAATTCATGCAGTGAAATACTGGTACTTTTACCTTTTTAATGCTTGCTATTTAACCTCTGTGAACAATTTCGGTTTCATAAAATTTAATCCGAAATGCAAAAGCGGTCGCGTCCGGAAATTGGGCACAAATTGGCGGAGTGTTCCCTAACGTGGCGCACTTGAATAAATCTCAGAAAATTCCAAATTAACATTTAAGAATTTCTGTAAACTTGATAAATTCTGATAAATAATTTTTATCTTTACTTACAAACCCAGCAAGATGTTTGTCAGAAAATTATTTTCTTATTTTTCGGGGCATTTTCAAAGGGTTCACTTTGCACTTGAAAATAAAATCGGAAAATCACGCCAAAATAATTTTTTCTTTTAACTTTGTAACGGGTAAATAAACTCGCGATTTATGAACGGGAGTGTTTAGGACTTGATGAAATTTCACTTTCTGTGAAATTTCAGTTAAAACTTTTGCTCTAGCTAGGCGCTACAGGCGAAAAATAAAAGTGCGCCACGTTAGGGGCCGCGCCACGTTAGGGTACATCAACAATATTTGCAACATTTCTGCGAAGTGCGATGACTCGCCTTCGTTGATTGAGGTATATGATGACAAAAGTGGCGTTCATTCTTTCTGAGTACTTTAGAATTAGGACACCTCTCTTATGCTTTACAAGTTCCGTTCATATATCAAAACCCTGCCCTCTTTCAGTCTTTGACATGTTTGAGTACTTTGTCTTTCATAAACAATCGCAGTGGCTATACGGTAACTAGAAATGTGGCCAATTTACAGGACAACCTCCGTAAATAAAGGCCACACTTGGAACACGTGCACCAAAAAAACTAGAAGTTGTATTTTTTGCAAATTTTTCATTTTTATATTTAGACTTTGCAGTTTATTTGTTGGCAGTGGATATTTAGCTGGAGACGGCAAACCTTTAGTCAACGTTAGCTTGCCAGATATGCACTGAACATGCGCAGTTACTGTTTTTTTGTACTTGAACATTTTCTGGTGACAAATTTTAGTCTGGCTTCATGCCAACATTATTGTTGTAACTTCGTATTCACAAGATGGGAATCAGACCATTTTACAATTTCGAACTTTATTTCCCTTTTAAAAGAAATCCTCCAGAGCGACAAATCTGAAAAAGAAAATGTAATAATCTGCAATAAAATGTTTGAGACATGTTACAATAATAAAAGAAGAATATTCTTATTTTTGGGGATGGGGGAAAAAAAACCTTAAAAATTTCGCCAGCGGGGATCGATCCCGGATTTTCCCGCCATGAGATCCCTTGCTTATCCACTAGGCCACAGGTGCTACACAACCGTTGGTGGTAATTTAATATATCTTATAATTCAGCCCTATCTCAGAGAGTACAGCACCCTCTGCTGATAGGGATTGCCGCCGGCAATATATCCACTATCTTATTTATGCTTTAGAAGCACACTCACCCTCTTTATAGCGATAGAAAAGAAGTCTGGGCTTTTTTTCAGACGTCTATTTTTCGTGTAATTTCCAGGTTCATTTGCACACGTTTGCGTATCTAAATTCCAACATCGTAAGGATGATGCGCGTGCTGGATCATTTCTACTGTCAGTCACGTAGACTTGAGTCAAGGCGCACGTGGTAACCCGGACACGAAAAAAGATAACTGTAGGTTTATTGCAGCCCAGCATGCATGTACAGCTCAGTTTCTGGCCCCATTTATGTGATACGTTTCATACTGGTAGATGTACTTTTTTTCCATCCATTTTACTTGTACTTGCAGTTGATTATGGAACAAGAGCCTCTCTCCCAACTACACACAGATCAGCAAGTAGTAGAACGTTACTTTGCTCACCCTGCAGACGGATTCAAAATGCCCAACATGGGAGGACGTTGTTTGGATTGTTTAAAAATAGACATCCAGCTCAACCTGATGCAGTTGTGGAGGATGAGCTTCCGTACAGGGTGGTCAGGCCAGGGAAGGTGAGTCTGAGGCGTAGCGTGCCCGACGACGTGATGCAACCGGAGTACGCCAGCTCGGGCACCCCGCAGGCAGTGTATTTCCGCCCGATTCCATTGAAGGAGGAGGAGATGGAGAAGATGCGAGATGCTGGGAAGATGGCCAGAAAGATACTGGACATCGGGGCATCACATGTCAAGGTATCACTCATGTCTTAGTGTTGTGGTTGAGGCCATCATTACATGGCTAGCCAGTAGTTAATCTCAAGTTCTCCTTACACAAGTCCATTCATAAGTAACAGGGGATGAACAATTACAAAGGAATGCTTTTGTTCCTGTTCAGTTGAATAGCCTGTTACTTGACTTGTGACAGGAGAACTTATGATTGACTTGTTACAGACTTGACTTCAACACTGTCGTCATCCTGATCCCAAGTCTCTCAGATCCGTAAAAATCAGTTGGGTTTTTGGAGTATTTTGTCAAGATGAAGAAAAGTAGAACCCAGTCAAGTTTACTGTACAGTGGGGCCTGAACTTGATTCCCTTGAAAGTACACAAAATTTTGCCATTAGCTTCCTGCACATTGTAAGCATTTTGAGGAGTCAGGAAGGCTATTTGAGCATAAAAGCCCAGGGAATTACATAAATGTAGACTGAATTTATTATATTATGTTCCTCTTTTTGTTTGTATCTTTTAATTTGATGTCTACCATCTGGAAAGCCTAACCATGTAGAATTTAAGATGATGGAAAAGCAGGTGACTTTTGTCCAATCTTGCTGATCTTAGATGTAATTTTGTTTGGTTTGGCAAATCTGATTCTGTTGGATTCATAAGTCTTTTCACAAGAAATAAATTGACTCGGAAGGGGTGAATGAAAGTGCTGCTGGTTCCCAGAGGGCCAGCCTTGTGTCCTCTTTGCACCAATCTCACTGACTGAATGACTGACTGATTGACTGACTGACTGTCACGTGTAGGAGCCGAGCAGTGCTATCATATTGGATAACAAACAAAACACACAAAGAAACAAACACAATGGTGACATCTTGTATTTCTATATCTGGTTTATTACGCACTCAGGTAATAAGCCATTTGCGAGTGACCTATACCCTTTGAGATTTAAATTTGAAAAGCATCTGGTACACTGACTTGCTCAGAATGCTTGGCACATTTTAACTTTGAATTCTCCAGACCAAAGACACTGTTGCTAATCACATGATTCGGGGCAAGCTCTTGCACAGTTAGGTAAGAGACGCTCAGCACCAATACATTGTTCACAATGGGTGAGAATGGCACAGAGACACCAGACCATGCCGGAGCTGGGGTTGCTAGCGTAAGGCTTGCCCCGAATCACATGATATATTAACAGTCTCTTTGGTCGGGAGAATGCAAAGTTAAAACGTGCAAAGCATTGGACTAAGTCAGCGTTCCAGATTTTATTCAAATTTAACTCGCAAATGGCTTATTGTGTTTTTGATGTTTCTTCATGTTCAAGATTTTTGCATTCACAAACTTCACACACGTTTCCATTTCTCTTTCACTTAATGCTTCAGCCCGGTGTAACGACAGATTTCATCGACGAGACAATCCATGCTGCCTGTCTTGAAAACAATGTCTACCCCTCCACTCTCAACTACAAGGGTTTCCCCAAGTCCGTCTGTACCTCGGTCAACAATGTCATGGTCCATGGAATCCCCGACGATAAACCTCTAGAAGAAGGGGACATCATCAACATTGATTTCACAGTGAGAAATCTTGTATAATTTTAGTTTAGATTTAAAAAAAAAAAATTTTAAGGCCAAAAAAAATAGTCTCCGGTTTCAGGTATGGAGCTTGTCCCAAAAGTGGTGCGGCGACGCGTTTTTTTAAATTTTTTCTTTTACTTTTTTTCTTCAAATGTCAGCTGATGACTGCAAATGATGCCAGACTAAATTTAGTGCAAAATGTATGGGAGTCCAGAGAGGCCACATAAAGCTTATACTCGATCGTTACCCCATCTAAAAACACGTTAAAATTGTGCAGCAGCAGGATTCCAGTCAAACCAGTGAGTTTGGCGGTTTTCAGACATCTTACATTGAAAAAAAAATAATTCATTTTGCTGACGCGCATGGCTACGGCGGCGCGCGCGCATACCAGAAACGGGAGACTTTTTTTTGGGCCTAAAGCATTTTCTATTTTGGCGTGGCTGCTGCTTAGTTTTGTCTGTAGTCCCAAAGTTCTGTCATTTTCTTTGCAAAGATACAAAGTAGACGCTGACTCCTAGGTTTGAATTAATTCTTTGAATTTTTTTGTGCCCAAAAGTAGATATAAAACTAACAGTTGACAAGGCTAACTAGTTGATTGCCTTATATCTACCCTTGCTCTTGCTTCCAAACTTATCATACATAGTTGAATGTAGCCTTGTTTTAAAATCTGTCTGTGGTTTTGTGCTCTTGTTCGGCTTGTTTCAGCTTCAAGATCAGATGTTTGCTTTCCAAGATCTTTGCCCTCTGTCCCTAGATATAGTTATCTGGCTGGGGGAGATCAGAAAATGTGAACTTTTGGATCTTGTTTCTTCTGACAAAAAAAAAATGGAAAGCAGATTTGAGCGCAACACAAATGAATAAGTGCTTATGAATGGTATAACAATCATGTTTAACAATCTATTGCTAAAGATTTTAAGAGTTCACTCCTACCAAACTTTTAGAAGGTAAGATGGACGAAGACAATAAAAACTGTTCTTTTGAAAACACGTTGTAAACATACATGTAAGACTGGTTTGATCACCGAGATCACGATGTTCAAACTACATTACAAAATTTGCAAACCCTTACAAATATTTTCCATAGAAACCAAGTAATTCCCTTCTGTGTACTTCACTTCAGGTCTTCTTGAATGGTTACCATGGCGACCTGTCGGAGACCTACGCTGTAGGCTCGGTGGATGAGGCCGGTCTACGTCTCATCGACACAGCGCGACGGTGTCGGGACGAGGCAATAAAGATATGCCAACCCCAGGCTCCAATTGCTGAAATAGGGGTCACGATACAGTGAGTAAAAATGTGGTGTTTTTCTTGTTTTCCCCTTCTGGATCGAGGCATCTTCAAAATTGCTTAGGAAATAATTTTAGAGGTTGACCACCGAATAGCTTTTCTTCCATGACAGCTGTTTATCTGAGTTTGATACTCGTCCTGTTTCGTGTTGGAGAATAACTGCTTGACCCTTTTGATGTTTTCGGTCTTTTTCTCGCTAGAAAAATCGCCCAGGAGGCTGGTTTCTACGTGTGTCCCTCCTTTGTTGGCCATGGTATAGGAAAGCAGTTTCACTGTAAACCTGATATTTGGCACTATGGTAAGTTCCGTCTTAAAAGCTTTGCCTCGGTCCTGTTCTTAATTGGATTCCTATCATTTTAAGCTTTATTAGAACAACTGAAGATTTCATTTCAGGTTACCAATCCCGGCCTTGATTAACTCTAACTGCCCTGAATCCTTCAAAATCCTTTTTGCCAAAGTGGAGGAATTTGGAGGATTGAGGTTACATGACAAAAGTGCATTACTGATTTCATAGGATGCACTTTGTTAAGGTCTTGGGCCGGACCTTGTGCTGTTTTTGCTCAGCCATGCATAAATATAGGCCTGGATTATGCTTGAAATCCTCCGTACTGCTCTAGGATGTCACTGGCCAAGCCACAACATATTGATAGTCACTGCCGCAAGATTTTGCAGGATTCAGGCAGTGGTCACCCCTCCACGGACCATATTCAAGAAATAATGGAGGAATTTGCAGGATTGAGGCTACAGTATGCTATTTTTCCATGAGGCCAATCGGAGGATTTTGAAGGATTGAGGCTACATCCTAGCAAATATGCTTAGGGAGTTAGGGCCACATGCGTGCATTTGCGTATGATGCGCATGTCTGGAGCAATGAAGTATTGCATTGGAGAAGCACGTGTTGTTGGCCAAAAACGCAGTGGGCAGTGCCTATTGGATCAATCTATTGCAACATTACCTATTTTTAATCCAAAGAGCTTAAAAAATGGTACTCATATTTGTACATTTTGTTTCATTTGCAGCATGGCGGTAGAATATATATATGCTTGACATTTTTTTTTATTAAGTTGAATTTTTATCCTCCGTAGCAAATACCTATCCAGAGAAGATGCTGCCTGGCATGGCATTCACCATCGAGCCAGTTGTCATGGAAACAGTAGACTCCTTCATCGTTGCTGAAGACGGATGGACGGTCTTGGCCAAGAGACACACAAGGTAAAACCCATCAATTGCAGTCATGTGTTTTGTTAGTTGATAGGTGTGGCTTGCACCAGTGCTCCACACATTAGTCCGAGGGTCAGACATTAGTGTGTGCAGAGCCCCACTCCAAATGCCTGAAATGTGTGTGCATGTAAATTTTATGTGACACTGCGCATCATGAAGTATTTGTCTAGTTACATGATTTACAAATGGACGCGGAACGTGCAAATCAGAGACAAACAAAACTTAACGTACAAAAATTCCATAGGGTTTGTCTAAGGGGCGTGGCTAACTCGCAAACGGCGATAGGTCAATCGGAGTCGCCTTTGGAATTGTGACATCATTCAGAGCAGAAAAGTAGCCAAAGTCGTTGATTGGTTGATAGCTGTCATCTGACCTTCTTACATTGAACATATGTCGTTGGGTTTCTGAAGACGTGATAGAAGGTGCCCGTTGAAAAGTCAGAATCTAGAGGTCAAGATAAAGTTGTTATCGCCAAATCAGCAAGCATATCATAGACGCCTGCCACTATCTTTTCCATAGACTACCACACATATGGCCACATCCAAATTGACTTGGATGCTACTTGCAAACTACACATGCCCCTATTACCAAGATACAGTGGACAACAGGAGGGCGGTATTTAAAGTTGGCAAACTCATTTGTATATACCAAAATTTACCTACTCAAAATAGCGCCCATTGTGTCCCCCATTTCTCAACCAGGCTTATGGACACAGCTATATGCAATAGAAAGTTGTGTAACTAACGGCCATGGCCGAGTAATTTTGACATAACCAAATTCTGCCAAGAAGGCAGTTCACCGGTTCCCTTCTTGATTATATTGGTTACCGGTTATTAGCACAAAATATTTCATATGGTAGGTTTCATGTCATTTCATTACATTTCTTGACTTTTTACTGTATTATTCATTAGGTTTATGCCTACAAACTCTGTTTGCGTATTCAGTGTAGTAATCAAAGTTGGTTCTCTAAACTAAATGCAGAGTTTTGAAGAAATAAGACATTTCTTTCTCCCCCCCCCCAAAAAAGAACAATTTTTTTTCTTCAAATTCACCTCTCTTTAGGAATACGAGAGTCAAGTCATATTACAATCTGTGCCTGGCTGACGCAAGCAAGGTTGCAATAACATGTTTCCCATCCATTCCAAACAATTCCGTTCTTCATCCCATCTAAAAATGAACTTGTACAGGATAGGTTGACATTTTTGATGTAGGCACTACGCAAAGTAAAAAAAAAAAACAGTCACTCAAATTCTTCACATGCCTGACATGAATCGATTTTGCTACTTGAAAAAACATCATGACAAAAACCCTTAAAAAACCAAGATTGAAATAACAATTTTCACATCCACTTTGAAGCAACTTCTGTCTATATTCCATGTTAAAATGAACCGATACCCAATACTATGGTGCATCAACATCCCCAAAAACGGCCGCTTAACTTCTTCCTGGGCCCTGCCTAAATCAACTCTGCTACATGTGAAAACACATCATGGCACACCAAAAATAAAAGTTATACAATTTCATCTGTCATCTTCAAAAAGAAGAAAACCCTATCAGCCTGATGGCTCTCTCAAGCACACCTGTGCCACCTGTGTCTCGCGTTGCGTCCAATCCAGGCCACGGAATGGATTTTTCCGGGTTCTGTTGTTCCGAAGAGTCACGTTACACTCGCTGTTTTGATAGACAGTTAGATAGGTAGCCCACATCCCAGGCAAGTGACATTTTTGTTTGACGTTGTGTCTATTTGTTTTTCGAGTCAGAAGCTTGACTCTGGTAGATACGCGGCAGTTTCAGCATTTGCCCAGGTTAAAAAAAAACCCACCAAAAATACACTACGGCGTGCGCCTGGACTTGCTTGTCCAAGGCAAACATTCGGGGTGTGTAGTGTAAAAAGCTTTGGATTTGTATCTGGTGTGCTGATGGCTGTGTACATGTACACTGTGTATAGTCGTTGTTTTAATGCCTGAGTTGTTTTTAGTGTGACTGTAGACTTTAGGGGTTCCATTTCAGCTGCTTCATATATAGCATGCAGGTGGGGAAGGGATGGGGGACTATTTCATCTTAGAGATGAAATAGTGATGTTAGTGATGAAATAGAGATTTGGCTGTTACACTGTTTCAGAGGAAATACAATGAAGTGTTCTGCAGGTGGGGAAGGGATGGGGGACTATTTCATCTTAGAGATGAAATAATGATGTTAGTGATGAAATAGAGATTTGGCTGCTCCACTGTTTCAGAGGAAATACAATGAAGTGTTTTGTTTAGTCTACTTTCTCATATTTAAATACGGATTTACATATTCATTTACATATTTTTGGTGAAGGTGTTATCTTCTGATTCTTGAGGATTTGAAAGAAAAAATATCAATTCAATTTTTCATAATTTACTTATTTTATTTCTTTTTCCTCATAATAAAAAACCCCAAAAGGTCAACTCCAGTTTCCAATGTGTAATAAATAACATATAGTGTGCAATATTTAGAAAAAAAGAATAATTGATATGGCCTAATTTTAAGTAAAAAAATAATAAATAGGTTTCATAGAGTGCATATTTTTGTGAGGTCTCTCATTGAAAACTCCCTGTCGGTACACATTCTTTGGTTGGTCACTGCCTTTAAAAAAAAATCAGAAATGCGTAAGTTTACCTATTCCTATTGGTCGATAGCCCGTCATGTGGGTGGCTTTAAATGGATAAAACTCGGACTGTTTTTAAACACTTCCGGTGTCACATGAAATTTGGGCTCCTATGGAATCTGGCCCCTTTTACCCTTTTATAGGTTGAACCCCCACACGTGACCAGTCACTCTCCTAATTGTCTTCACTTAGGCTTGCGCTGTCATACAGTCCTAAATTCACACTTCACCTGCACCGCTGCGTTCTGCGTCACATCGCGCAGTACGCACCACACAGTCGCCAATCTCCACACATACGGAGATTGTTAGTTCTACTCGTGTGAGGCACATGCCAAAATGATAGCTAGAGGGGTGTTTCACAAAACATTAAATGATATTGGCCCTAGCCTTCGGCCGTGGAGCCATTATCTGCATCCAGGCCCTAAGCCGGGTGTACTTGTTGAATACTGGCCAAGCACATATTTATTTCTTAGTCACTATATTATATTGGATGCTGACTCAGTCACAACTATTTACACTCCAGGCCTGGCCATAGTGACCTTTTAGATAATGCCGTACCCCTTTCTTCAATATGCAAAACGGGTCTTCCACCGCCTTTTCCAAATTCACTGAAAGAAACACACCCCTGACAATTCCTATCTGGACCATTTTTGTAACAGATTTGGTGTTCCTGCAAATATTGAACAAGAACCCCCGCAACTACATGTAAACCATCCATACTAGGTGTACCATGCTGGATGACAGCCTGGCAACACATAACGAATGGTGTGCAAATGTCAACCCCTTAAAAAAAAAAGAAGAAGGAATAATCAACACACCGGGGTCCAAAGATGGAAAACATTGGCTGAGCACTCCAATACAGACAGCTAGTCTGGGAATGGACTCTCCGATGTTAACTGCCTTCTCATCCCGCCTTTTATCTTTCACTGTGGTTTCCGTCTTAATGTCAATGCGGATCACATTACTCATTGACTTGCTCACAGATGTAAGTTTGGATCGTTATTAATGACGTGACATGGTGCGATATTCGATTTGTTGGGGGGGGGGGGGGGATGTGTTAAAATGCCTAGCAGTCATTGTCGTTAGAAACATCATTAACAGGAAATTGGTTTTCAATGGTTCCCTGGTGTCTGTAAGGGTGTCATTAAAGGGGCAACGCAAACTAATTCGTGAATTAAAAAAACCCAGTATTCTTGATCTTGTTGGCTAACTTCCAGGGTGACAAATTCAAAATATATTGAATTATTAAATATATTCGTACAACACATTCACGTGCAATTCTAAACCAAAAATTATGGAAACCCTAACTGAGGTCTCAATAGAACCAGTTTCTCATCATTTTTTAAATTTAATGATTTTGTAAATTTACCATCCCCAAAAAAGTACCCTGTCCCCCTCCCTCCAGAAAGGTCAATTTTCACAATTTATGTTTTAGGGTATGACATTTACAAGATTTCATGTAAGGACAAAATGTGGAGGCACAACTGATGTTTTGTTCGCTGAATGTGAAAATAAAGGATCTGACCTGCTTGGCCAGGTACATGTACATGTAGTTATGATTCATTACAAAATAAATAACTCCTAGGATTAAGACCTAACTGCAATTTCTCTGGAAGTCTTTACTTAAGACTATTGTCTGAAATCAGACTTTTTGAATCTGAGAGAAAGATGTTATCAGTGTAGAAAGAATACACCTTTCCGACCGTTCATCCAGTTTTCAGACTTTTATTTAAACTTGACAATCTGAACTCTGGTGTTTCAAAAGACAAACAGGCCCAGATCAACAAATAATGAAGGTTTTTTTTTGGGGGGGGGTAATTTTATTTGGGCTTTCTTACTGCAAATAAATATACTGCAAATAACGTGTCATAATGCATTTTTCCATTGTACTTTGTTCATGTTGTTCTGAAAAACATTATTTCTCATAGAAATATATTGTTCCGACATTATTTATATTTATTGGTTCGATTGTTTGCTCAAGTGGATGTTAAATTGCAAGCCTCGTTTAGCCTTTTATCTCAGAACTTCCATAACAAACAGTTTCTGTAACTTAACATTACTGCAAAACATCTCCCTCAAGTGTAATACACATGTGTGATCGGGAAATCCTTTTGTCTGTTTGATTTAATTAAGAGGGAAAAAACAACACACAGCAGCTGTGTTCTTTTGAGCACATGTGCTACAAAACATGAAATGGTGTACATGTATAGACCTGTGGTAGTTATGGTTAATTATGCTAAACATACAGACTGAAAACAAGAAGAATATAATATAAATGAAGAAAATAGGTGTGAAATCTCATGATTACCATGAGAGACAGTACAGTATGGTTTATGCTGAAATAATTTTCTGGATAAATATGCAATTCTCTGGATAAAAACGAAACGACTCTGAATCGTTTTCGATGGCAAATTGTAATTTTGACCCAGAAAGTGTCATTTTTATCCTGAAAAGTATCAGGTCAAATTTGATCTGGATGACGGGGCAGATCTGAAGAGTGAAGAATAGCTATTAAAGAAGTTAAAAAGTGTGATCCAACTAAAACTTAAAATTGCCATATTTGCATGTAAATAATTTACTATTATTTATTATTCTTTATTCAGTGAAAAGACCAGCATCAAGCATTTGTAGATAACGTACACCTTTTTTGTAGCGGACTTTTTGTCAGAGCAGATACTTTTTGACACAAAAGAAAAAGGGTTAAGATTAAGCAATAAATATATGAATAGAAGCCAACACCGTGAAAAGTAAAAAAGGGGCAAAACGAAAATAACTAGATAATCTGGTTTGCTTTTCAGGTCCGCCCAGTTTGAACATACAATCCTGATCACGGAATATGGAGTGGAGGTTCCCACGGCCTCGCCTGGCGAGAATCTTGAGAAGGTGATGCGATCTGGTGATGATAAAGGAGATTGCGATGACTTCTCATTGCCAGCCTCCTCATCGGCAGAATCTCATCATCAGAAGTCATCCATGGAGGGTGACACCACGGCTGCCAGAACAGCCAAAAACCCAAATAAGGATGACTGGAAGTTCGACTGAAGTGTGTTTCACCCGATTGAAGGAACTGAGGAGTTATCTTATTAAAGTATCCGGTATAAAAGTATAAAGTTGCGAATAAGTTCTCCATTCGGCCCAATGTATCGGGGATTATATCAGTCTGTTAAAAATGCTGATAACTTCATTGTGGGAAGATTTTGGGATAGTTGCTTATAATCCTACAATCAGTACCCAATACAATGGGACAAGTGCAGATTAACTTGTCCAAAACTCACCCAGGATCTTCAGTGAGATGACTCATCTTAGTTCCTTCAAAATTCCCCAGGGAGTTTTGTGTGTGTGTGTGGATTTTGTGGGATTGAGGAAGGAAGGGCCCAGTCACTTTACATGGGGCTTGATGCATTCAAAAGGGTGCAATAGGTTTCTTATTTAGTGGAGGATTTTGGAGGATTCAGGAAAGTTCTCGCCAGAAATGGCAAGAACAGGGATGACTAAAAAATGTTTTTATAAAATTTTATTGAAGGAACAGAATCGTTTGTGGGGAAAATAATTGTCATTTGAAGGTTCAATTGTTATGGTGCTCGTACTCTGACAGGGAACTTTGTGCTTGTGTTCTCGGGCAAGATGCTTTACTACAATTGCCCCTCTCCACCCAGGAGTATGAATGGGTACCTGTGAAGGTAGAGACCAGATTGTGCAGATCTCGAGCTGCTGCAGAAAAAAAAATGATCACATGGCCTGATGAACAGGGGTAATAATTTTGAAGCGCTTTGAGACCTTTGGTATAGAGTGCTATACAGCACCACATTATTATTATTACTTTAAAATAAAAAATGAGGAACAAATTTATAGTTAATTCATTCACAAACTCATAACGGGTCAATCCTAAGTCAAGATTTTCAAATAAATTGCAACAAACGAATTTTGATATTTAATTCTGTAATTGTAAACAACACGTAAACAATAAATTCCAGACCCTACATTTTTTTCATTGTGGGGTCATTACATGAAGTCATTTTTGGACCTTCGATCAAGTGGCTACCAACAGCTGTAAGTGGCATTATGAAAGGCTATTTTTTTCTTCATTTTGACCTTCGTTGTAAATTATCAGTAATGTGCATCAAAATTGCAGTGCTTAGTCGACTGTTCATGATTTGATCCTGAAACTGAAGAGCAGACTTGCAAAAGATGAGTCTGGCAGATATTAGTCATGAAAGTGTTCACCGTCTTTCAGCTGAAAACAACATCTGGGGTCAATTTTCATGGGAGGAAACAGAAAATATCAGTAATCAAAATTTCTTGCTAAACGAGCCAATCCAATGCTGCAGGAAACCAGCCACAAGCATTGTATACCAAATGACTTTTAGCTGGTAACCTTGCTAAAGCAGAGTATTTTTTTGTGATACGCAATTTTGTTTTTATGAAATTGACGCTGAATCTCAGTTAAAACACAAACTGAAGAAGGCGTTAAGGTAAACCTATTATCTTTTTCTTTGATTATTTATCTTAGGGCGAGTAAAAAAAATGAAATAGTTTCTCGTACAGGCTTTTTGGAAAAATGAAGGAGGCCGGCCTTTTTTTCCCCAAAATGGCAGATTTTCCATTAATGTGGATTGACTCTTTTGCTGATACCAAATTGTGTCGAAACGAGCCGTAACCCTTTCTACATAACTGCGATTTTGTTGGAAAGAAATAAAAAGACAATATATTGACAATATATTTGCAAAATATGTTGCACAAATATGACTTAAATAAAGGAACGGGCTGGGAAAAAAAAAAGCGAATGGGGATGAGAAACTATTTTATGTTTTTACCTGGCCTTGTAATGGATTTTTTTGATCGGTACATTTTATTTCTGTATTATTTCGTGTTACTTTTGTGGGCGGGAACACTTTTGTACAGGATTTTTCTCGATGCAATTGAGAATTGCAGAAATTATTTAAATTTCCTCCCTTTAAATGTAATGAAAAAAAAAACACGGGAATAAAGGAATACAATTCTTTAAACGACGATTGGAGTATTTAATTTACGGTGGAGTTGATGGCTCCTTTTGTCCATTTGAAATGAAATGCATGTCTCATAATGATACTGCCGGTTGTTTTGTTTTCAAAAGTATGTAATTAAAGAATGTCATTAATCTATCACCATTGTTATAACTTCCTATTTCCGACCAAAACAACATTCATTGTAAACGCAGCGGTGCCAAGCGCCGTCTGCAATTCTAATCAAATTTTTACCAGAGCACGGTGAACAAAGTAACATGAAGTATTCAAGATCTTGTGTTCATCTCATGAACTCAATACTCCCTCAGTAGCATCGTGAAATCGGATATAAGAACTACAAAAAGATGTGGCCAGTACGGATCACGGACAAACAAGTAAAGAATTCTATAAATAACCACAGCGCTGAGTGCTCGGTTTTTAAATAGGAACGATATTAGCTATTGTTGGACTACATGAAAGCGAGGAATTTAATACTATATTCATAGGAGTCCAGGTTGAGGAAGCTGATTAAAGTTGCTTGTGTCTGTTGCCCGTTTTCCCGTCGTCGGTTATTTGGAATGCCCTCGCGTCTTGTGTCTTACATCCGTTGCCGTTGTCTGCCTGGCGCACGCAGTACGGACGCTCTGCCGTATTTTGCTTGAGCTGCATAGTGTAGTGTGTCACAGGATATTTGAAGTCTGGTGTATTGAAATCATTAGTTTTGGGGGATGTTTGCAGTTTTGTTCTGTTCTTTATTGTTACCAAAACGGTATTTTGAATACCTTAGGCCAAAAAAAAAAAGTCTCCGGTTTCTGGTATGCGCGCGCGTCGCCGTAGCCATGCGCGTCGGCAAAATGAAAAAGTTTTTTTTTCAATACAAGATGATGTCTCAAAACCGCCAAACTCACTGGTTTGACTGGAATCCTGCTGCTGCACAATTTTAACGTGTTTTTAGATGGGGTTATGATCGAGAATAAGCTTTACGTGGCCTCTCTGGACTCCCATATATTTGCACTAAGTTTAGTCGGGCACCATTTGCAGTCATCAGCCGACATTTGAAGCCAAAAAAAAAAAAAAAAAAAACAGGTAAAAAAAATTAAAAAGCCGCGTCGCCGCACCACTTTTGGGGCAAGCTCCATACCAGAAACCGGAGACTTTTTTTTTTTGGCCTTAACTAGGGAATGCCATATGGCATATTAAAAAAAAGCTGATAAAGAGGACGAAAGTTAATGAATGGTTGAAAAGCAAGTTACAAGTTAAAACTAATTTAAGTTTCAAAAGAAAAACAAAGACTTCTGGCAACATTTTATGACTTAACTTTATATATTTATTTAATATGCTTACTGCTGTTCACACTTATATGCATGTAATTAAGTATATTCAAAATGATAACACCATATATTATAACCTATGGTTCTTACATACATTTATATAGTACATCAAATTAATGTTGCGTATATCATTAATGATTGTTATATATGTACTTTCTAAAGATTTTAATAACTAGATTTGCAATATTGTAATAAATGGAAATAAATTAAAAAACAACTAATTAACATTTGCATAAAAGTATCACAATCACAGTTAAATAAAACCACATGCATCATCTGTAAAAGTTTGGACAGCAAGAAAAGATTTTCAATATAATAATTTCTTTTTTATGCTTGTTCCCTTAGGAATGCCAGTTTCCCCTTATGTTGGAGGAATATCACTTTTTTTCGTTGTTGAGACGCGAGGAGCGTGTTTTTAAAAACTGTCGTCTTTCATCAGTCACTGTTAATTGTTATGTTATCTGCGAAAATTACTGCCGAAGTTCGTGTCACATCAAAGGTGCTGCAAATTACTAGAGATCGATTCTGTTGGTTACATGTTTTACAGTTGTAGTGAAAGTACTCCACTTTCTGCCTTTTTGGCAATTTGCGTCAATAAAAAATGACGGTAAAACTGAGACGAGTGACAGACTTGAATAAAAGATAAAATACATTTCCTCCATTGCCGTGGGCTGATATGGAAAGGTTTTTGTCTTTTCTTCAAAGTTGGATTATAAAAATGACCATGCACCTTTAATTTGAAGGAAAATGTTCAAATCTGTCTGCGTGCCACGTCCGAGTTGAGATACAATTTTGGAGATGTGTCTCGGCTGGTGGGCCGTCAATGGAGGCGTACAACGGCAAGATATGAGCTCGTTTTGGTGTTGAAAATCATCCCCACTTCCTCGTTGCCATCAGATAACGGGTGATGTAGGAGCGATGTTCGGGGGAGTGCAGACGGCGTGTCCAATGTGATGCGGCAATTAGTCGGTCGTATCGGGGAATCGGAGGGTTGTGAGTTAGTACGCTCGGTGGCAATGATCTATTGAGATCGGCGAGATGACGTCATTAGTGACGTCAACATGATCGTGAGATATGTTAGTCTTGTTACAGCTTCATGTGTTATTTTCGTCTCAAAAGTCATAAATGTGTTCGAATTTAAAAAAAAATGTATTGAATTTGATTGCCAAAGCCTGGTATATCCTATCACAGAGCTCACAAAGTTAGGACTATTTAGAAGTGATTCAGAATGGCTTATCACTGGAAGACTTTTCATGCATCTGGTCCTTTCCACTCAATGAAGCAAATTTAGCCCATTCATTGGCGTTTCAGGTCGACTATAATGATAGCACTGCCCGGTCCGTAAAAGTGACAGTCAGTACAGGCCATCAGCCTCGGTCCAAAATTTTGGCCACCGGTATCAAATGAGGGGAATAATCGTCATAGCAATTTTTGGCAAGGTGTACACCTTCAGAGTTGGAAAATATCTGATAGCATTGCAACAGTGGCAGCTTTTTGGTGTTATCACCCTATTTTTCATAATGTCCATTAAAATGCTTGTTACCACTCTAGGGGCGGTATATTTTATGCCCTGATTTGATACTGACCAAACCCCCAGGCTGAAGGCCTAGTAAGTCAGTGAGTCAGTCATTTACTCATCCATCCAGTCACTCAGTCTGTCAGGTGCAGAGGACAATCGGCCAGCCGGCCCTCCAGGACCAGCAACAAAGCAATTCAGCAATACAACCATCAATGTGATATTGGACCAAAAGTGAATTTCCCTATGTTCCCCTTTCGTCATGTCTCGAAAAGTCTGGATGTCAAATCCCCATCTCGCGCTTGTTGTACAGATGAGTACATGTGAACGCGTGATTGCTGCAGTGGCTTCAATGATTGCTTGAATTCCACGATCCCCCATTCCCGCCTAGCGATCAAGTCTCGCAGAAAATCAATATTCCCCGTAATATTACGGCCCTACCACAACAGGGGAGACCCGCTTATATAAGACGGTTTATGTAAGGTGTGAAGCAGCGTAGTGCTGTTGAAGAGGTCACGGGGGGAAATCGAAGTGGAGCAGGTTGATTTTAGGTCGCATCTTTTGACTGTTCTCTGTGGGATTCAGGTCGGGCATCCCAGACGTAATTTGATTTGAAACAAATTCAAGTACGACACTAATATGTCTACTGAAAAGAAAACAAGAATAAAGTCTTTACCCTTGGGTCCTACAAAATGCGCTTGTTCTTTATATAAATGTGCAAACCACTGAAGTACTTTAAAGTTTATCATCCAATCTTATATACCATTTTTTTTTATTAAGCTTTAGGGGAAAAGCGTCTGTCTCGTTTCATTTTTCGTTGAACTTTGTGTTACCACTTTCAACATTGCTTTTCTGCCTTCCTACTGACAAATTTGCTTATTACCGTTAGCATCTGGATTAGTGGACAGTTGTTTTGCCGTGAGATTAAAACTACGTATTCCTCAATCTTGCACTTAGCTGGGGTTCCATGGAGGGAGAAGTAGTCGTATGATTACAGACGAACGACACAGCCCATAAGGATGGATCAGGATATTCCAAGACACTCCATAATTATAATTGTCAGACTCTCAGTACGCGACGCCATAGACTAAATCATTCCTGAATAGTCAAATAGAATCCTTTCCACAGAAAGCGAATCCCTTACAGCAAAGGAAACTGAACTCGACTTTGATGAAAACTGTCACCGACCAAAGTTCAACGATCGGCAAAAGCCGCGCTGTCACCCCACCTCCTCTCCCCGGTTAAGCAACCTCCGTCTACGCCAAAGCTTTCCCGCTTGGAGCGCCTAGATCCTCGTGTATCCCCGTGTGATGAAATACTAAGCGTTCAGCATTAGCCAAACCCATCCAGGGTGTGATTTTGTTTCGCCCCTGGATCGTGCGGTGCACCTAGATCCTGTGCTGAGCAAGAGTCATTGCACCGGGCTGAAGTCGAACGACCTACCGGTCACTCACGGGTGAGTCTGACGGCCGAAGCCCGCTGGATGGATAGGACTGTCCTGGGCCCAGCTAAGCAGTAAACACTATACTCAGCAAAATGTTTGGTTAATGTTATCCAAAAGGACATCTTTAAATTGCATCCCTTTTCGATCAACAGAGGGTGCTGTTGCTGTGATGTCATTTCAGGAAGACTGATTGTTCAGTTTTAGGGTTTTCTGTTCAACTTGTGACCCCTAAAAAAATGCTTATTGAAAACTTTGTGAGAAAAGTTTATCATTAGCCTACTGCCTTTACACAAGGAATCACCAAAAAGGGAAAAGGTATGACAGCAAAAATATTTAAATTCTGTCAACGTTTGGTGCTGAAATAGTTGTACAATTGAGGTTTCTGCCTGAAACGACATCACACTTTTGCTCACGAATATGCAAATTTACTTTATCACCAAAATACCCTTGAAAATGGCAACACGAACATTGAAAATAAGGTTAAATTGAACACGTGTATTTTCAAAGATTGCATTAAAAATACTGTGAAGATAAAAAAAGTTGAACAAGCAACGAACAACCCAACACGCAAACAACCCAACGAACGAACCAGAAATTATGAGAATTCCATTTTGATAGTTTTGAACTTTGGAATCCATTGGGATAAATTTTCAGCGACTTCCCTTATCCACGGTACGCTGAAACAAATCAGCTTTAGACACTATCCCTTATCCACGGTACGCTTAAAACAAATCAGCTTTAGACACTACCCAACGAAGACGCGAAACACGACTTCTGTATAACTTCAGCCGCCGTTTTCGTAATTAAAAAAACCTCATCGTGCAATCAATGAAGCATTGTCCACGCCTATTGTTTCTCGATTGCCTAAATAATATGTAATTAACTCACTAGCTCAGTAGAATATTGCTCTTACGCATTATTTTATGTAACCCGTTCTTCTGCATATGCTTATTATAAAACCAATATGGAGGTGTGTTCGCATCTTTTTGTCTTCCCTCATGACGGGATAGATTCCAAACAAGCAACTCTTAAACCACGGTACGGGAGAGCAAGGCTTTCAGGATCGATGGCCGGGGGAGAGAGAGCCCCTGTCCTCCCGGAAGTGTCTCGGCTATAGGCGATCCAGTTTGCCCCGGTCTCGGTTCGCACACCCCGGGGCCCACTTCAGCGATCGATATCAATTCTGATAAATCTTCCCCCGTAATGGCCCCTGGGCTACCCACGCCAAGGACGAAATAGGAGTGGAGAAAAAGATATG